ACTGTGCACATGAACCTTGCGGCAGCTCTGGGGACAAGCAAAGGGCTGCGATGGCTCTAACGCTGCTATCACTTGTAACACAAGAGCAGGAGACAAGTAAAGCTTTAGCTCCAGTTTTGCCAGTCATTGTGCACATATTTAACAGAGACTGTCCCCGTACCAAACAGCCTGCAAATCAAGGTGAACATTTTGAGAAGACAGTAGGACCCAACCAGAAGGGAGGGGAGCAGCACAGGGCAGCACTGTATGGTATAGTATAGCTCTGTACTGCCACTAGCAGCACTCATCCCGCTGCCAGCCTGGCCTCTTCCCACCACCAGTACTTTCCATTAGCCAATGCATCAGAAAACTGTGTGCTATGACACTTGAGTCAGTACATCAGAGGCCAAGGACTCCTTCTCAGGGACGTAGCAGAGCTTAACAGGGCTCATACTGAAAGAATTGCCAATGAAACGTGGCTGTGAGCCACAGGCATAAATGCAAAAGAGAAAAAAAATGGACCTGGATTTCAGTGCTTTGGAGCACAGGGATTTGAATACAGACTTTAGCTTGTTTTACTAGAAAGGTGGGAGCTTTTGCAGGAATTGGGCCTGGGCAGGACTGGGAAAGCCTGGGAATTTTGCTAGGGCAGTCGTTTGAGTGCACGCAACTTGGGATAAAGAAACTGCTTGAAAGCGATTTCATGTTTAGATATCTGCCCTCCTTCCTCAGGTCAGAAATCTCTATATTAATGCACTAGGCTGTGCCCAAGCAGCTGCTAGTTATTGTGCAACAGGAAAAATACATTTGGATTTAAAACTCCGAGAAAAAGAAAGCCTTGGGGACAGGAGCTGATGGGCAGGTATTTGCCTTTGAAGGATTTAAGCTTCTCTGTTAGGCTTTGCTAACTGCCAACAGAGAAGTATCCTAGAAAGCAATTCAGAAATGAAGCAAAGCAAAATTCTAGAGACTTAGCTGGGACACATCAATTCCTTTCACTCCCTACTAATTACCTTCAGATACTAGTTAGTTCACTGTTACCACCTCCCCATGAGATGGGAAGCAGTCTTCCTGTGCCTGTACAGTTGTAGAGTAAGTCCAGCAACTCACCCAAGGTTACACATAAACAGTCACCATCAGTTACAGGCTTTTATTACAACCCAGGGAACCCTGTTGCTCTTAGGAGGTTATACAGCTCTGTAATCCCACTAGAGAGGGCTACTAGGCAAGCGGCACAAGTTAGACTGAGACAACATTTGGCCTGGGCACATATTGCCAAAGATACTGTGAGAAGCTATACTGATTCCCAAGCATGCATACACAACTCCATTCCCTGCCCTACAGCCATATTAGTGTCCCAGCCAGCTGTCTGAAAGCAGCATCTTTTGGTACCTTATGGTGACCCCAGAAGGAGTGTGGAAAACCAATCCAGGAGAAGGGAAACAAAAAACAACAATAACAAAAAAATGTCTTGGCTGACTTCCCAGGAGCAGCAGTGTCAAATTTGGCTGGCCTCCAGCACAAGTAAATACATCTTACCAACCTTAATGCCACCATTTATCTCTCCAAAGTTCTTCACACCTCCTTTCAGAAGCCTTGGCACAGCATTGCAACCATACCCCTGCAGCACACTCCCTCCAGCACCAGGCAGGAGTCCATCCTCCATACTTTGCTCTGGCCCCCTGGTATTGTTGTACAAAGCACTTACAGGCAAGTCCTCAGCCAGGAGTAGCTAACACAACTCCATTAGGAGCCTGGTAATGAGCTAATTTATAGCAGCTGAGGGTCTGGTTCACTTTTTTTTTTGTAATTGCACAGATGAGCTTTAATTGCACCATCCTGGTGTTTGTTGGCAATGTGCTTGAAAGAGCTGAGCATTTTTTTATGCCTCTTTCAAGATCTGTAGCAGAAACAATCTGCTGCTTAGAAGCCCCATGGTTTGGATTCCATAACCCAGTCAACAGAGAGGAAGAAGAGACTATTCCCTCAGTGAGGTGCAGCAAGAAAAACTTGAGTTTCAGGTCACTGCCTTAATCATGGGAGATCTCTCCACTGTAGCACAGGTGACCTCATTGACCATGGGAAAGTATCATTGAATGAATGAGGATGCGGTGCCTAGGTGTGTTGCAAAATCCTGCCATCCTTTGCATCCACTCTGAACTTGTGGTAGGGGGGATGATAACATTTTGCATCATCACAAGGGGCTGGGAGGATAAATCAGAAATGCTCAAACACTGTGGTTACTGGGACCTGCCAGTGCTGAGATCAATGGTTTGCAGCCTAGAACAGATAAACAAGAAATTGTTGTGAAACCATTCAAAAAGTTGCTAGTGGCCACAGGATGGGGAAAGCGAAGGACCATGTTGTCCACAGCACAGAACTTTCTCAGCACTGAGTTGTTGGCATCAAGGCGACCCTCATGCAGGGGGTCAGAGATTTCTTCACCTTTTTATTTTTTCTACTCCAGCCAAACTTTCTGGTACACGTTGTAGCTTTTATACTCATAAAAAATATGAATTAAAGCATCTGACATCTCCTCTGTAAGCAGCACAACCTCATTTTAATATGCTGCTTCCTGATTTCAGACAAAGAAATATTTGTGTAGGCCAGGGTGAAACCGGTTAAGCAAGAAAAAAAGGGGCAGATTGAAAGACAGTGAATCTCCAATCAAAGGAAAGCATGGCATGATTAATAAGTGAAGGCAATCAGAATCTGCAGGAAGGGACTACCATTGCATATAGTAATTCCTGGTAAGAGTGACAGCTGTATGATTTGTTCTTAAAAAGAAAGTGCAGCAATGCAACTGCTCTCCTCCTGACTCTCAGTGGTGGTGATGTGCCATCAGAAGAGCCTGTTAGCCACCTATTTTTCATGCAGATACAACGCTTTGCCTCTCACTGCCGAGAGGCGTTTGCAGCTGAGCAGGTAGATCCTCTTCACTCCAAATCAGAAACTACTCAGCTCCACCTCCTCCTTCCGAGACCTGGCACCGCACTCCCTCTTACAGGTGGTGTTTTGCTGCACGTGAAGCTGCAAAGCAGGCTCCCTATTCCTTGTCCTCAGTTCAGGGTCCATCGTGCTCATCCCAAGAGTTACCCAGCCCAGCACAGGCAGCTCCTGATGAGCTGTCCTGTGACATTTCCGTGGGCGATGCCTTTCTCTCATCGCCCACCACAGCCATGTTCTGGTTTTGAATTGCTGGCGGTCTGGCACTAACTGTCCCAAATGTGGCTCTTTACAGTGGAGAGACAGCTGTGAATCCTGCCAAGGGAGGCAGTTGCAATTCTGTATATGATAAACAAAATCTACAGGGGGCTATAAGCACTGTGCCCAAGTGCCACTAAAAGCCCATCAGATGGGATTATTTATTAGACAGCCCTTTTGAAAATCCAGTGTAAAATATTAAATCGATCGCTGCCTATGGACAGTAAAGGGCATGTTTCAGTGTTATCTCAATAAATTCTTAAGATCAAATAGAAGGAATTTAAATAAAATAGAAAATAATTCATGTAATAGCTAGCTTGGCTTTAATGAGTAAAAGTCTCCCTTGTCTGTGGATATTGCGGAAAGCAACCTGGAGGAGGGAAGGCTGGAAAACAGGTAATTTCTGAAAGAGGGAGTTTTAGGGGTTACTGTGAAGGAGGGCTGCACAGTGGAGCCCTACTCACTCTACTGCTGGTGATGGGACTCCAGGCTTTCCTCCTGTCTTAGGGACAGTTACGTTACCAGGAGTGAGTTTGTGAAGTAGCTGCTGGTTTGATGTCAGACAAAAAGGAAATAAGGAAGAGAGGAGAATGAAAGGAAATGAAGTAGGAAGTAAGATTTCCTGAAAAGTGTATGCATTGTAGCCCTCTGAGCTGCTCTGGGTCAGGCATTAAGAAGGGAAAAGATAGCAGAGAAACTGAAGTTTTGTACTGCAGCAATGCCTGGTCCAAAATCCATGAACAGATGGATTTGGAGCTGAGATTTGCAGTTTGCTAAAGGATAGATGCAGAGTTTTCACACTGGCTCTCATCCCAGTGTGAACCAGAAGTCTGCACTGTGAAATGTTAGATTCAGAAAAACAGTAAGAAAACCTGGGGGCAGATCTTCAACTTCTGTAGATCAATCCAGAGACTGTTCTACCACATTACCGTGTGAAATAACTGCGATGAGAAAACAAGTCTTCTTTGTGCGTGAGCAAAAAGCTCATGAAAAAGCTGCCCCCATGTTCTTTCTCTTCACAAAGAAGGTAAGAGTTCATTTAAAGAAATGACTTCATAGCTAAAACCATACCGTGAGTGAAAAAGATCTACAGTGCCTCGTTTGCTTTTCCTATCAGTACTGGCTTTTCGTCACCCATATGTGTGCAGAGAATACCAAACAGTTTGCAAATTTCTCATTGCAACCTCAAATTCACTGAAGTCTACAGAAAGACAGATTTCATTTTACCCTTTTTTCTGCTGGTTCAGAATACATTTAATCAGAAGAAATATTTTAGCCTTAATGTCTATCATGCTGAAATAACATGTACTTCTCTGCATCTATATACAGATAATCACTAAAAAGTTATCTGGCTACATATGTTGTTTTCTACCTATCTACTAAATCAGAACTCTGTGTGCATTTATAACTCCTCCTGAAGGACTCTGGGTCTATGAAACACAACACTTCTGCTGTAGCAAAGCCTACAAGAAAGCATCATATAGCTCAAGAAAAATTAATTAGGGCTGCCCCCCTCTGCCACCTTGCTATGGACAGTTTTACATTTCACATCCCTCGGGCGATGCACTATGCACTGAGTTTTGTAGCCTTTTGTGACCTTCTACTTGTTTTCTTTTAAGCAGGTAAGACGACCCCGCCTGCTGAGGACAAAGTCGTGCTAACACATATGAAGATATTGAGCAATGAAGGAATCCAAAACCCAGGTTTAATCCCAGAGGCTCCAGCTGACACAGCCCGCACAGAAGAATCCCATCTCCCTGGCGCCAGCCTCCCACCAGACTGCCAGGGAAATCCGAATGCAGCGGCTGCACCGGCAGATCCAGACTATGCAGATGCCCCGGCAAGCACAGACTACGTAGCCACGCTGCCTGACCTCAGTGCCTTCGAGTCCAAGTGCCGACTTCACAGATTCTCCAAATTTGAATCCGAGGACTCGGGGGTTGAATTGCCAAGCGGGGCTAATTCTCCATCAACGCCGACAGGTTCAGAGAAGAGCTTTGTGCTTCACAGCAGAGACTCATTCTGTGACTCAGGCGTGCTTAGCACCTCTTCTTCTCCAGAAATTGACCATCTGATAATGAGAACATGCAAAGAGAATGCCAGAAAAGTTAGCCACCAAGATCCAGAGAGTGAAAAGCAAGCTGAGTACTACAGCCAGGAGGCAGATGCTGTGCAGGGTCCTACAGCTTCCCTTGAAGACTTCAGTGTCTGTCAGGAAGAAAGTACCGATGAACATTTTGACCAAAGCAAAAGGCAATCTCTGGAAAAGGACGCTAGCCCAGAGATGGACCTTCCCAAGGAAAGCACTCTTCCTGCCCCAGCTCCCATAGAAGAGCCAAAGACAATTGCTGACGATTTCCCTGAGAACTTTGGCAGCATGCAGGACCTTCAGATCCATGGACAGCAGCTGAAAAAGTACCCCACAAGTGACAGTCTGGACGAATACATGGATGAATGCTGTAGACTGAGTGAGGTAAGGAACACCTAAAGTGAATCTTATAGCTAGGCCTGTCCAAATACTTGTTAGGGTTCAAGTCCTATCATCTATTGTGCACTAGGACACATCCGTGCGAGTTAGAAGATCTCACCTGAAACTGTTGTAAGCAGCAAATCTTGGCAATTTATTTTTAAGAGCTCTTTTCATAGCAGTGAAATTCTGAAGTAATTCACATATATTGAGTCTGGGTAAGGATGTCTAATGGCTCACAGAGATCTGATGCTTAGAAAAGCCCTAAATTAGAGGGTGGACTTGATTCTGGTCTTAAAATGAAGATTATGAAGTTATTCATCATCCTTTGATACATGGAACAAGGATCAGAACATAATTTCTTTTTCAAGGTCCGGTTATTCCCATTTCTGGGAACGGCTGGACTGCTGTTGGGGTGCTGAAGTTTGGAAAGAACTTGTCTAAGGGGTAGCTCCTTCCTGTCCTGGCCTGTCCTGTCCTCTTGAGCCAGCTCTCTCAAATAATGAGTGAACAGGGAACTAGCACAAATTCAAATCTTTGCTGGGCTGGAGATACCATTTTAACCCTCCAGCACAGGTGTGATGGAAACTCCTGTGTTCCGAGACTGACCGAACTACAAAGACATTTTTTCAGCAGCTTCTCCTACTCTTTACCCCTTGCTGCATACACCATGTGACTGACAGGAGGATAAAAAACCCTTCTGTGTACCTTCTCCCATAGCAGATGCTGGCCAGCACTCACCCCAGTGCTTTGCCTGAAGCCCCATGCTGCCGACACACAGACAGACCGCTGCCTTGCCTGCCCGCTGCAGTGGCTTCCGCGAACCAGCGACAGAAAGATCTAACTGGGGAGCTGATTCTTGAAAGAGAGACAGACCAAAGAGCCCCATGAGGGAAGGGAAAGGAGAGGGCAGACTAGGCGAAGAGGGTCACACAGACACACAAAAAACATCAAAGTGCATAACGGGGATTTTTTTTCAGGGCGTTCATTGCAGTAATAGTGATGAATTGGAACGGGAGATGGGTGGGAGGAAGCCAAGTGACAAGTGCTGTGTGCTATGCATATAATTTCACCATGACCTCTGCCTGAGCCCTGAACTATCAGGCGATGGCCTTCCTCTCCAGCCTGCCAAACCCTTCTGAGCAGTGAGGAAGGTCAGAGATGGCCCATCTTTGTTAACATTGCATATCGAGGCAGTACAAGCAACACATGATCCAGCTGAGCAGCCTCTTCCTCCCCAGAGCTGTCTCACACACAGCAGAAGACAGATGTCTCTTTTGCACAGTTCCCAACAGTCAGCGACCTGGCCTTTTGGCAGAGAGTTCAACAAAGGACCAGAGCAGGAGAGTTTGACCACAAGACGACTTTATAAAAAGTTACCTGATTTCTCTGTTGCACTCCAGAGGGATTGCAGCCAGCTTGGTCTTGTCTGACAGCTCTGGCTGCCCATGAAATTCCTTTAAATCCTTTGTGAAATAGACCCTCAGTTCCCAAAGCAGAGCATTTAAATAAACAAGAGAATAAATTAGAAAGAAGCTGAAGAGGAAATGAAGCTCTTGGTGGCTTATCTCACCTCCTTTTTAATATCCTCACTGGCTGAGTGCTAAAGCTCTGTGCCCCAGAGCACTTTTCTTTGTTTGTTTTTCGAGCTGTATAAATACAGCTGTGACCTAGATGCTGGGGAAGCTTGCCCCTCTTCAGAGAGCACCTCCAGGCTGCTGCATCTCAAGAGCAGCACTCTTCAAACTGCTGGGATGCCAGGTAGCACCCAGCCTGGCTGGGGCAAGAAATGGCCATGGCTGCTGCACAGCCCTGCGGCTGCTCTGCGCTGTGTGCCTCGGAGCACAGGGACAGCCTCCAGCAGCTGCAGAGCCTTCTGCCCTCACCAAACCTGCACAAGGTTGATGTGTCCTCATTGTCATGCAAGAGAGGCAGGATGGAGTGAGACCCACTCAATCTGCCCATACGGCTGATAGATGCATCTTGGTTCACACCAGCTGAGGCTCTGCTCCAGACTTACTGTGTGGTTTTCACATTTGCCTGTAACCTGTCCAAGATACAACATGGCACTTGGGAGCCAATCTCTTCTTTGATGTCATCTCAGGGACTCAGATACCCCTGGAAATGCAATCAATGTTGTCTGGAAGACAGCAGGCCAGTACAAGGTATTCCCACTCTGCTTGGCAAAGAACATGGCAAACCAATTCCTGCTGCATTAAATTCACGTTAATATAAGCCAATGTAAGCACTCTTGCAACTTTATTTAACGCCAGGTGAAAGCATTATTTAATTATAGGTGACAGCGACTTCCTCAATTCTGTTGCTGGTTTTGGGAATATAATTTTCAAGTAACAGGAGAGCAGTTGAGATTCCCCAGCCCAGCTGGCTGTGGCAATGCCAATGGCACTGTACTTGCCGGAACACCACAGCTGAGCAAGGATTCAGTCTCCGGCTGAGGATGTTCCTTGATGTCCTCCTCACCTCCCTCACTGCTGAGGCCACTTCCAAGAGAACAGGAAGGAAAATGCTGAAAAAGAGAGACTGGAAAGGACCAAATGTTTTGACTGTTTGGATTCGTTTGGTGAATGGCTTTGGCTGAAAATATACATCGAATCATTTCAGTCTGGCATTCCTTAAACAAAGCTTTCTGATCTTCTGTTTTGAACTGTCATTATTTTGAAATTTGCCTACATTTAGAAAGATGAAAGAAAGTGGAAGCTGTCAAACAACAAGTGAAAGAACTTTGAAGCCTAAATAAAAGCATTTCCTTTTAAGTCAAATTAAGTGTTTGGGGTCAGTTTGAAGATACATAGCTTTTGATGCTTTTGCTTTGCAAACACTTCCTCACACTCCATAAAGTTTACATTTAAAGTGAGCCCATACCCCTAGAACAAGAGAGAGGGTGGGAGCATTGTCGTCATTAAATGAAAAAAACCATTATTCACACAGTGCTAATTATCCTGTGCCAAAGCAGTCAAAATACTTCTCTACAGAGAGTGGTACAGTTCAGGGGAAGGATAGGGCGACCCATGATGGTCAGCCCCGTAGCCTGTGCGTGCTGCTCAGAGGAAACCAGAAGCTATCAGCAAGCGCAGCCCCTCCTGGGCAGCAGGGTGGAGCCGTCAGAAATATACCGCACGATCCCTCTCTTTCCTGTTATTCACAAGCATTTTGGTGCTGTCAGCTTCCAGTGACAAATGCTTCCAGCTCGGCCCGTGGCGTCACAAGTTGCTCCAAGCCCATGATGGGAGATTTGTAATTACATTCCTTGGCTGTCGGTGCAATGACCGTACTGCCTCCGTACTGGCCATGCTAACACGGCAGGAGTGGGCAGTAAGGGATTTATTGGAGGATGGAGCACGGTATAACTCAAAACTATCCACAAGAGAAAGTGAAGAGCATTGCATGAAGCGCAGAAACCTAAGTCACTGCAAGAAACATTAGCGAGCTCTTGTCTGAATGAAGAGCAGCTTCACCTGCAAGCTAGTCCTGCCCGTCAGCTTCAGCTCGTGCTGCCAGCTCCGGCCCAGGACAGTTTTATGTTGAAGAAAAGCCCATCACACACATCAAAGTAACAGATCATGGCTGAAATGAGGCAAGACAAAGTGCTGATTAGATGAGCAAAAAATGCAGATCTTTTATTATACCTCAATTGGACAAGAGGCTTCAAAACAACTGTCTGCCTTGCAGCTCCCACTGAACTTCAAACTTTGGCTTCAGAGGAAAAATGTGATTTTACAGCAGTCAAAATAATGACTGGCAGGCTCTAGATAAGCCAGAGTTCCCAGTGCAGATGCTGATTCTGTAATTTAAGCTTTCTAAGAAATCTGTGAACCAGCACAACTCTGGTTTATTGCCAGCTGACCAGGGATACATGTACTGAAAACCTGTCCCCAAAACTTAGGTGAGCACTCACAAGGGCAGAGTTCTCTTTAGTTAGGCAGGTGTGAAGTCAGCGTAGTGCACCTTAACTCCGCAGGGTCAAAACTGTAGTGGGAGTAACTCAGCATAGCATAGCTGAGAGCCTGGGATTCCTTTTCTTCCAGCTGAGGGTCTGTTTCAGTCTGATGTACCTGAAAGCAAATCTGGCACCTATTTATACATTATGTTGTTACTTTCCTAGAGCAACTTTAACCATCTTCTTCATAAATTGTGTCTGATCCTGTGCATCTTCACCTTCAAAAAAATAGGTGAGATGTTTTTCCTTCTTCATAGGTTTCATCAACTCAAAAATGGGCACGTGGCATTTGTTCCAATACTACTTGACAATCCCCATGTAGGAAATGGCAAAAAATTTCAGACCTGTTAGCTGAATGTTTTAGAAAGCTTCAAGTGGGAGAACAAAGACTGGAGGAGACTCATCCTGGAAAATGTTTGCAGTTCTCCTATGGTTGCTAACCCTCACTGCTAGCAAAAACTCTCTCAACAGGTGCTGAGAGGAAAATATTTAGACCAGAATGTGACAGAGCAGGTTCTACGCTGCACTTGGCATGACCAGAAGATAGCAAGGGCTGTTTAGGTATTTCCAGTCTATGGAAAAGAAAGTCCTGGAAGGGTCCCTAAAGAGGCCTTCTCTGAGCAATCATTTTGGGGGCAAACAGCTAAATTACACGACTTTTCTGTGTAATTTAGCCAGCCATATCTGAACCATCCTGATGCTAACAGGCCTTGTGGCAGGGCAAGCAAGGGGAAGCATCCCCTTTAAAAGCTTTTACCCTTTCATGCTGACCACAGAGGTGGCTGGCCCTGCAGGGATGGGTGGACACTGCAGGCTCTGCCCGATTTCCCTTTTGCTCATTTGTGTTTGCTGGGATCACTTCAATAAAATGCAAATTAATTTCCTATTAAATAGCCCAAACTGCCTGCCCTGAGCAGCCTCTGAAGGATGGCTGTGAAACAGAGGCTTCCAGCATACCTCCAGCATACTGGGTCCAACCTTCAGTCTGGTTTAGGTCCTCCACAGAGGTAAATCCCCCTTTTTTTTTTTTTTTTTCCCTGGGGACCTGTATTCTCAGGAGTTGGAAGTTCTCTCTAACTTTTGCTAATAGCCAGATTTTCCTCCATGCCTGCCCAAAACACACCTTTGCTTTCAAGTGCCTTCAGCCCTAGGCACTGGAAATCTGGGCCACTTTCTCTACTCCTGCCCTTTTTGCCCTACAAACCTAGCAGCTGCTAACACGAAGCAAGACCTTACAGTGTTATGCAAATATGGAACAAAAAGAAAGGGTCCCTGTCTGAAAGAGGTGACAGTCAAATGCTTCATGCTCTCTCCCTAGTCCTGAGGTTACAGCCAAATGTTTTACTTTATCCTCTTTTCCAAGAGCTCCTCTGTCCCTTGTTGTCTTCCCTTGGGTTTCTACAGCTATAACAGGGGTTGGATTTGGCTTGGTGTCTCCACAGGGCAATACAGACATGCCATCGGTCACTGCAACAGCAAACGGGCGGAAAGGGGAGTTGTTAAATGTGCAAAGAGATGGTACAGAGTGGCAGAAAGCCTACATTTACAAGGAGAATGAGGAACTTTTGACTACCCATTTCAGGACAGCTTAAAAACCCCCAGATTTCAGAAGCTGATACTCGTGTACTTTCTGAAAATCATGCTTCTGAAGCTGGGCACCCCAAAATCCCTAGCTGCTTTCAGATACATTGGTTATAGTGTGTTTGATTCAAGCTTTTCCCAGCAGGCACCATATGGGCTTTGGTCTCCCTGTGGGTCCTGGGGCTGCGCCCCTTCCCACTGCACAGACATGCTAAGGACTCAGTTTTATGGCCGAGTAACCTTTGTCTTGACACCGATTCTGCAGGCTCTGCCTGAGAGGAAAATAAAAATCATGAATGTGAATGACTAGTTGGCTTGGAGTCTTCACAGTTTTTATATGATTTCATGTGACCTCTGTCCCAACCTCAGACACAAAAGCATCTGGACATAATAATACCTGTTTATAAATAACATTGTATCATCATTTGTTTAAAAAGAAGTAAATCCTAATGATTATTTTTTAACACACCATGAGCTTTCTGACATAATGAAAAGACAGGAAGAGTCCCAAGGCTGGCATTTCCCCAAAAATGTAGATTGTTGTGGGAAAGGAGACAGAGTAAGCTTCCTGCTTTTGTAAAGGAAACTTATTTTTTGAAGTAAGATAAACTTAGAGCACTGCTTTTGTAAAGATTGAGGCTTATTTTACTTACTGATATCACATGCACATCAGCAGGCAGCGCCAAGGTGGAAGTGAGCCTCTGCATGTACTTGTTAGCAGCACGTTCGGCAGAGTCCGCTCGTGGCACAGGAGAGGACACTTGCTGTGCACGGGGAAGTCCTGGGGCCAGAAATGGCGAAGGTGGCCGGGAAGCACCGTTGTCTTTCCTCTGCCACAAGATCACTGTCTGTCTCCAGTACTGCCCTTGGCTGAGCAGCAGTGAGACTCTGCAGGTCCTGAGTGGGGAGAGAGCAGTGGTACAGAGGATCCTGCCGTAGCCAGACAGCAAGCTTGATCCTGCAGACTTTCTTCAGGCATCTCTTAATGACTGAGAAAGTAGCAGCAGGGACATAAGCTGGGATCTGCTAAAGATCAGTGAAAGATGTTCCTTCACTTTGGCAGCTTGGTTCAGACACACATCCATCTCACTGGCCCACCAGTGACGAGGGTCCAAGTTCAGCAGTGCCGTAATGGTTATGGGTTGCCAAAGGCAGACAAAACGTACCCCCAAGTTGGTCACAAAGCAGTAAATCACTGCAACCTGCAGATATGTACATGCCTTTGGGTAGGAGCCAAGCTCAGCCTCAGTAGACATAAATGTGACTTGTACTGAGGGCTACGGGCTAGATCAGCCATACTAACACCAGCCATCTATACCATACAGCAGGACTATGTTTGTAAGGGTGCTGTGGCCAGTAAAAGACAAAAATTAGCCTGGGAGGTGGAACTAGAAACAGGCCAACACAAGGTTTTTCTCTGTGTCAGCCTGTGGTCAATCACAAAAGTCCCTCTGATGGAGCATCTTGCTGGGTAATCCAGAAAAGAGCTGTGAGCAAGCAATGCTGTAAGTCAGGTCTGGCTATAACCAAAGCCCCTCTTGCAAGAGAAAACCTGAGTGTCTTTACTACAGCCTGCAGGACTGTGAGGAGCATTCTAGGCTCCCAACTGCTAGTGAAGATTGCTCTGCTGTTACTCTGTTGTCCAAGCTGTATTGTCATTGCAGGTGAACCAAGGTAACAGCAAAGCCCTGGGATCTGGTCTGGGATACCTGGAACACATTTGCCAACTGATTGAGAAGATTGGGCAGCTGCAGGAGCACAACCTGCGTCTCCAAAAGCAAGTGTGCAGCTTGCAGAAAGAGCAGAAGATGAGCCAGATAAGAGAGGTAAGGAGACACCATAAGCATCTTCCATTAAATTATATATTCTAGGCCCAGATGGAAAGTTCCAAGTCTGTCAGAGGGAAGATGCTAGTTAACTTGGCCCCACGCCCAGCTGGGCTGGGTGCTCTGGTCTTCAGGGACCCCTCACCCACCATGGTGGGCTCAGCTTCCCTTAGAGTGGGCTTGAGTTTCTGTTCTTGTTCAATTTTTTTTCCCAGATGTCATAGCTACCATGTGCTTGCTTCTGTTAAGTTAAAAAGGGTCCCTCTCATGGAATGGTCAGCTCAGAGTCAGTAGCTTTTGCTTCTCTACAGTTGAAAACTTCCCAAGAACACATCTCCCTCATCAATGTCATCAAAACAAAACATTTCCATGGACCTTCTTAGGAATTGTGTTTTGAATTAAAAGCTCTTTCTTTTCCTTCTTGTTTCAAACCATCAAAATCCCAGAATTTCCCACAAAACAGACACAATGGAAAAGACAAGCGGTGATACCACTATCCAACTCCATGCTCTCTTTCCCTTCTTGTGCATCTGAGCTGCCAAATGAAGAATGTCTAACATGAAACATGTCAGTGTTCCCATTTGTCTTTTTTTTTTTTTTTTAATCAGCCAGAGCTAGCTGGGAAATTTGACTGAAATTTGCAAATCATTTCAGCATCCTCCTAAACAGGATTTTTTAGCCCCTGCATGTTTTGTGTAGCTCTACTCCACCTCTGCTTCTCAGTTCTTTTTCTCTGGCCATCACACCTCTCCTCCCTTTCTATTTATTTTATCACCCCCCCAAAGGAACAGAAGGAGTTTGTCACACCCAGCTATTTCATCCCAGCCATGCTGTGGCGAGTCTTTTATTCTCCCGACAGCGTCATTCCTCCCCTGGTGCTGCTCTCCCACCTGCTGGGACTGGATCTGCAGTAGGTGACTGACTCGTCCTCAGAGCCAAAGCCAAGTTGTGAGTCAGGTTGCAGAGCAGCAGAGCCCGTCATTTCCATGTACCCATCTCTCACGCTCAGAAGAATGCAGCCTCCTACATAGAGCCTGGGAATTGTTAACACATTTCCTGAAGCTTTACAACTGTGAGTCATTGCTCAAAGTAACTCTTCCAAGCTGCAAATTCAGGGTCAAATCCTCATCTGGTGGCTCCCTCCTCCAAGCTCCCACTGAAATGAAAGGCACCGTGTTTTCATTTAAATATTTGAAACTTTGATCTTTTTGGTATTTTCCAAGATCTCTCAGCAGTGCCTTCTCAGCCACATTTGTCCCATACTGTTCAGTGGGAGTTGGACTCCCAGATGTAACATTCAGGACTTGCAATGTAGTCTACAAAACTGGGTGATCTCTTGGGTATCTTTGTGGTGCCTGCATCTCCTATATCTGAGCAGCTCTCTGTCATTTCTTTCTTCAGAGTCACAGCCCCTCTGTGTAGAAGAGGAGCACTACTATCCCCATTTGCCATGAGATGTGGAGGTTGCTGTCCACATCACATTTTGGAGGGTGTCCTAAGGCTACTTTCCAAACCATGTTCACTCTCCACACAGACTATGAGCATGGAAAGGTTTCCATGCCCCAGACCTGGCTAGGGAAGACACAATCCCCAGAGCAGAGATGGGTTAGTGTGGTACTAAGAGCTGATTGTGCGGATGGTAGATGGCCAGTGCCCCCAATGCTGTTCTTGAGAGCTGACAGACATCAGCCATCACCACAGAGCCTGATGACATTTTGATCCTGGGACACAAAGGGAACATGGTTACTCCACACACTTTGCTTTACAAGGAAATCTTTAGTGCCCTGGGCCAAAAGTAGCATCTTGCATCAAAATTTCAAAGCACACACTCCCCCCCCTCACCCCCCCAAGGCAACATATACAGGTGAGATGTTATGTTAAAACTGTCAATTGCTTGGAGGTCTCCAGAGCTGCTAAACTGGTGTTGGCCTGTCCTGGTTCCCTTTCCACTTCAGCTGGATAAAGCTCTCCTTGCTTTCTGCCCTACTAAACTCTTGTGCAACTTGGCTGTGCAAGGTAGATCTCCCAGCCCACCACACCAGCTACAGCAAAAGTACACCAGCCAAAGTACGACAGGGATCTCACCAGTCAGATTCACTGCAAGCAAACTATGGCATCCCATCAATAAAAATACAAGATACTATTGTCTGTGCACTTTCCAAACCAAATAGCATTATCTTAAAATGCGAGTCACTATTATAACGGATCTGTTTATTTACACAAATCCCTTAGCTGAGCAGCTCTGTGTTTAGAAACTTGTATTCAATTCCTTCTGAGAAAGAAACCGAAAAGATGCTGAGTATCAGGCAATTCAAGTCAAACACCAATGAACCCATGAAAAATTTACATTACCAACTCCAGGCTCCTCAGCCTTTTAGAGAATTAAATAATTTGTCTGGGTTCTGATAGGTCTCAGGACAAGGCTGGGCATCCCTGGGCTGGGATGATTCCAATTTGCCTGTACCATCGCACTGCCCGGTCACTTTGGGCTGTCGCGGCCTGAGACTCTGCATAATTTCTTCTTGTCTGGTGTAGGAGTATCTTCTGCAGCATTGTTCCTGTGGAGCTACCAGCATTTTCCTCAACTCGTACCAAGACACGAAGTCGTTTTTTGCTGGGAGGAGCAGACCTCACAGTCTCTTGGTTCAGACTGGAAACCCTTCTGATCTTTCCATCATCCCAGAAATAGGAGCGAACACTGAAAAGCTGAACAGCTGCAAAGGTGAGTTCAAATACTTCTAACCTGCCCTCCTGCTTGCCACCAGCTGGTGAAATAAGCTGACCAGCAAGCTCCTTTTCCCTGGGAAAGACAGATGGGAACAGAGCAAGGTGTTAGTGGAACTAAACCTTAGCTTTCCAGCTAAAAGATGCATTTTAAAATGCTTTGTCTATAGCTAGGATTTTAACACTTGCTGCCTCACGTGTGAAACAGGACTTCTTGCACTGCAGCTGTGGCTGCAAAGATTAGGACAAATGCATTATAAAATGGGTCTCTCTTTTGGAAACTTAGCGTGCCTGAATGGGTCCATTAGTGGAGCCCCTCCACATGGCTTTAAAATCTCCCCAGCCAAGGTAGAATTTGATCTAAGATGGAAAGCCTTATGCCTGTTGTTAGTCTCCTACCCTTTCAAGGAGGCACAGAACACATTCCTGGATGATGACTTATTCTATAGACCAAGTGGAAACAAGCCCCAGCTGCAAAGCTTGGATCCAGATACCAACTTTTCCAGAAAGCTGAGAAAGACTGGGCTCAGTCTACTGATGATAAAGCCAGCTGAAAAGTCTGGATCCAATGTTAGATGTGAACCAGCCCACTAAGCAAGCCTGATCAGTTTATTTCAAACCTTGGACTTCATTCTGCCTCTAATACCTGGTGAGACGCAGAACATCAACGCACCTCCTGGCAGGGCTGAGTCAGGGTGTAAATGTCCTTTGGGATCTCTAGTGCTGAGGCTCCGAAATGCTCTTTCCTGGCAGTTTCAGAGCAGGCCTGGAAGGAAAATAAGACCATGAGGAAGCCATTAGAAAGTCCTGCTGTGGTCAGACACTTTATTGGAACATTTACCTAATTTCCACTGCAGTGTGGCATGAAGACACATGGGGTCTCATCCCATCATTAAGTCCTTAGGGTTCTCGTTCCATCTGGGGTTGCAGCTTGCTGGAAGCACTGCCCAGAGGCCGTCCTAGAAGGACACGGGCTGAGAAATGTGAGCAAGTCCTTGAATTTCATTGCAGGAAGTGAGAGATACCTGGATTCAGGAAACAGCCAGCCGATGGTGGGGCTCAGGAAGTCGTCCAACAATAGGAACAACAAGGAGAATGAATTCAGAGAAGCTGGTAGCATGGCTGAGGGACAGGCTTTTCCGTCAAAGGACCCGGCAGTAAGAAAGGTGAGTGATAAGCTTGGAGCCAGACTCTGAGTGGGACCTGTGGGAGAAGCAGGGAGAAATTCTGTTCAGGCAGATCAGAGCGGGGTGCCAGCAGAACAAGCCAACCCTGTCTGCTACTGAACAGGGCTGGGGTGCTGAGGGCCAGGGTGCTCTGTGCCTCTCTGCTCCCAGCCTTAAATGAAGATAATGGCTGTGTCTTTGTGCCAAGAAAGGCACAAACAGCGCTGGTGCAGGAGAGAGGAGCACTGCAGGCAGCGGCATGGGCTTTAGCCCTTGCTAACTTCAGATAACACATGAACTTTGTCATAAGTATCTTCGCTACTGCTGCTAGAGAGATTAAACCAAGCACACATTTGCTACCGCATATAAAAATTAGTGAGTCAATCCTCAGCTGGCAGCACTTATTACCAGACTGGCAGCATATGAGTATAATTAGCTCCAGTCCCCAAAGTGTGTTTCAGGGAAAATGTGTCGCTGAAGTCCAAGGGAGCCAGGACGAATGCTTTTCCTCTCCCTTTCTTTCCCATTGTTTGTGGCCGCCTCAGCACTTTCAGGTTCCGGTGGGGATCAGAAGTGCTGAAATGCCAGGGCAAAGGCTCTAATCAGAGTATTCCCAGTCTGACAGGAAAGAGGAAGGAGTAGGTCTCTCATGGGAAAGACCTTCTCATGAAATTTCCACCCCAAATTTGCAAATAGGTTGCAAACATTTCGTTGAACTTCAGAAACCAAATCAAGGCTGAATCCTGAAAGGTGCTCGGTGCTCTGGCTTGTGTCCAGCCAAGTTCTGGAGTATGAACATTATTTTAAACACACTGGAAGCCTTGATGACTTCACAGGCCTACAGAATCAAGATCCACACTCTTTAAACTGAATACTTGTGCTCTCTTGTCACACCGCACCTTAGTATTGTCACTTAGAATTGTATTTTGTACCTTGAGCATGAAATGCCTCATTTCCTTCTCCAGTGCAGGTACTGTATGGGAATCCTGCTACACTAGTCGCCAGGCTACTAGGTGCTGCTATACACATGAACTGGCAGTCTAAATACAAAAGAGAGGTGAGAGGTGGAGGAGGAAAGAAGGGATTATCACATGCCTAAGGGACTAAATTGTAAAGAGATAAAAGGACTTGACCAAGGCTATAGGTGGACTCCAGGGCAGACCTGAGAGCAGAGCCCAGTCTGTTCTCAGCACTGACGGAAGGTCTCACTGTCTTGTTATTTATTAATTTATTTACCTTTTGTTTTTAGGGTCTGGACGCCAGCAGGAACATCTCGGTACGTACTGCCTTTGTAGAATCTATTTAGCTTGTACCTGCGTTATGGACGAAGCCTTGTAGTTCACAGCATTATACATGAACAAAAGAGGTTTACTGACCCCTGAAGTTTACTATCAAAGTAGCAGACACGCACATATAGTGACTTATTGGGGTCTGTTATTCCCCCACTCCCACTGCAGACAACAGCTAGCTAGCCTTCAGCAACAGGCAAATGCTCAGGCTTTCTGTGGTATTAGCAGCACTTGCTTTTCTGGGACAACACCAGCGCAATGAGGGACTAACTGCTGAGGCTTCCAAAACCCTTCCACAGCACACATTAATCCTAGAAGTAAACACAAAGGTTTGATATTTCCATGAGTAAACAGTCTCACTTATGGGCAATTAACTCAACAGCACAGAAACTGGTGTTGCAGTTTTCAGCTGAGCCCATGACCTCATCTGAAGTGTCGAACTGAAAACTTAGCAGAGCGCCAGGAAGAATTACTGCAATAGGCTCTGCCTGGGCTGGTGCGTGCGGCTGGGCAGTCGCCAGGTTGTGTGCCCAAGGTGGCCACAACTCCTGGAGCAATGGCTCTGCTGGTGGCACAGTGGGAAGGCACCTTGGGACAGGGCAGAACAATGCCCCAACAACGGTTCTGAGAACTTCACTGAAACTGGAATTGTTTCTCCTCACTACGCTAGTCCCAGGGCATGATCTAATTTGTTCTGTTCCCAAGGTTTTCCAGCCATTACTTTAGGAAATTTAAAACAGCGTAGCAAAAAAGCATGAATGTTTTTGATGCATCATGTCTTTTCAGTTCATGAGTCCAGATGGGCTCAGCCCTGAGAGAGCAAACATCAGGGAGGGCCTCATGAGACTCCCTGACCTCCTGATAATCTCTATTAGCATTTCAAATGTAAGTGCCCAATAGCTGTGGCTTGTAGACGTGACAGGGAAACAAAGGCTTGATCTCTTCTAATTCATGGTCCACAAAATTCACCACCTTGAAAAGGGCTGATAACAATGCACCTGGCCTAATAGAAAGGAGAAGGGAGTCAAGCTGCTTTTTTGGGTTGTTTTTGTTGTAAAGCCCCCTGGGTGCATGCTAGTAGGTAGGAAACCAAGCTGATCTTTTTTTCCTTTAGTACAGTATAACAATAAGGTAAAACGTGCCTTTAGGCAGCTACTCAGCACTTACCAGTGAAGTGCCCTCACTCTCTAAAACATTAAGTCAGAAAGAACAGCAGGGTCCTAGGCACGGGAATGTTACCAAACAAACTACAAAAAGGATGGCATTACTGACAGTTGATCCATCCTGTCTCATTGTGTCCTACACATGTACAGGCTGGCCACCAGGCATCATTGCAGGGTGTTAAAAATTCGTTTGTAGGACCTGACTCCTATCTGTCCAAACTAAAGAAGCTTCCCCCTCTTCCCACCACCCTGGAGTACCCCAAAATATCACGCTGGCCAGATGAGGTCTGCCAGCAACTCACCTCTGATCCTTCAAGCTGTGGTTTGTTTTTGCTCCCTAGGGTGAGAGCCATGCTTGGGGCAGAATGAGAGATCTTATGAGGAAGACACGGCTGAGAAACCAGAACAAGCTGGGGCTGTCCTCTGCTGCTCTGAAGAGGTCCTGCCCACAGTTGTACAGGTAAGGCAGAGCTGTGGGAGATTTTCACTTAGTGTTGGGAGGAGATGGTGAGAGATTTACTTCTTCCTTAGTGCCCAGGTGCTCCAAGATCCCAACTGGATAATGTTACCTGTGTGAGAGGAATGGAAACATGGTCCCCAAAATAAGGTGCTCACCCCCAACAGGGCAAGGGGATGTTCACAATCAGTCAGAGCCATTCTGTAGCCTAATTATCTGTGTTTCTGCTCCCTTCTAAGCATTACAGTCAAGGTTAATGCTCTCCTCCACCTATCTTCGCATCTTTCCTGCAGTGGAACAGTAACCCATATTGCATCTGTGACAGGGTGGGACAGTTGGAATCAGCTGGAAGGTTTCCTATCAGAGGAAAGGGAGATGCAGTTTGCTGAGTGTGTGCTCACGGGTGGGTCCTGTTTGTTGCTGTGGATAAACATTTGGGTCAAGCATGAGGTCTCATTTCTATGAAAAGATCTGTCCTGGCCCCTTGGGCAAGTTTGACTACCAGGCTAGTTACAGCATGGCCTCTGTCTGAGCTATACTGTGCAGTGTATGTCTACCTGAGGTGATGACAGGGCTGCCAGCTAACCCTTGCACAGATATTCCCTGTGCACTTGCCAAGTCCTCCCAGCCGGTCTGGTGAATTGGGGGTATTTGTGTACATAACTGGGTAACAGGAAGACCCTGGGTATGTTACTCACCAAAGGAGGAGCATTACGGAGCTGGGTGTCTCCCTGTGTTTTTTCAGCTGAGGTCTCAGTAACCTTGAGCGGAACAGCTCAAATGTGCTTAAGCCCTCCTCGGCTTTTAGAGACGGTGATGGTGGGGAAACAGCAGTTGTTTAAGCACTCAGGAATGTCCCATTGTTCCCCTTAGACCGCCTGTACCTACCTTAAAAATGCATAAGGGAACTGGGAATCTTGTAATTACAGCTGTAAAAAAACCCCTCTGTAGTTCGTGGAGTGATCTTTCCAGCTGGGAAAAACTTGGTTGGGGCCCAAGCACACGTAACAGGCAAGCTTCCTCCTATTGTTTGGGAAACTGAAAGAAACACAAAGCAGAAAGAGATCAAACAGTTCCACCTAAAATAGATGGTGAACCAGCTGGGGAAAAAATACAAGTTCTTGTGAACCTTCCCTCTAAACCTGAATAGAACCAGGACTTTATTTGGGCTTCAGCAAAGTCCCCTCTCTGTAACCTCCCCCTCGGAGCGCTTTCTCTGCAGCCCTGAGGACACTGCCGGTGCGGGAGAGCGGCACGCTAGGTCCGCAGCTGGCGAAATCGATGTACTTCCAATGAAGGGCCAGCTCAATAGCTCCTAACAGAAATAGTTTCTGCCACTTTCACATGTGTACTGGACAACTACTACTGTCATAGAAATGCTGTACAACAAGATGCCAAATGGATGATTTTTTTTTTTTTTAACCTGGCTGTAACTGGGCAGCCCCAGTGATCTTGTAGACTGATTTTTTCCAGGCTGCGGCCTTCTCTTTTCTTTCACTAACTTTCTTCTCCCATATATCTACATAAACCCCTTGTCCTTACTTATGCCCCTTATGTCCCTCTATTTCCTCTTCTCCTGCTTCCTAGCTCCTATTTCCCAGCCCTATCTGTATTTGCTCTTGCTCTTTTTACCCCACACCCTGCGATAGCAATGCACTGACACCGGGCTTCTCACTGTTGCCTGGAAAAGCTGGGCACCTTGCTCCTAGGGCGTTTTGGATACACAGTTGCCCTCAGGCTCCTTTGAGATAAAAAGTTCGGCTGAGTGGATCAATGACAGCCCGGCAAGTGCTGCTGGACAGAAAGCCAGCTCCTTCCTACAGCAGTACCGAAACGGTAAAGCAAGAAAGTCTCGCTTGTCTGCAGCTCATGGCAAAGCAAACATTGAAGCCCTCATACTCTCAGCATTTAAAGCCACTGTCTTTGTTATAATTTATGAAACATGTTTGTCCTGGCTCCTGGTCCTGTTTGTACATGCAGGCATATAGAATTGGATGGCTTTTGCTTACCCGGGCTTCCTTGGGCTCAGAGACACTCCCAAGGTCTTGAACTGGAACAGGTTGGAGACTGGTGCCCTGTATCACCATGTAGCTCTGAAAGAAATAGATTTGTTGCTTTCGACACCCAGTCTCACTTGAGTCATTTGGGCAATTAGAGAACTCTCTTTGTTTTTGTTACTAGGTCAAAGCAAATCCCCTTTCATGCTCCTACTCTGTTATGATGAATGATCTGCTCCAGGGCAGTTGTTTTGTTTTTCTTTTCTTTTTTTTTTTTTTAACATCTCCAAATAATTCTCATAGTAGAGAGAGAACTTGGTTCTTCCAGCAGGAGAGAGGGAAGCCTGCCAAGGTAAACGTACTGGCACAAGACTCAGTGGTTTGTCATACATTGTTCTAAATGGGCTCAGGTTTTAATTTCATTTTCTTTTTCCTGCTAGTACTTTTACTCCCGCAAAGCAACATCTATTTTGTGCAAATGGCCAGAACAGGCTGATAAATGACTTGATCATGGTGTTATGAACTTAAGCAGCACGTGGACTTGGATCTAACCTATGGCAGAAGAGTAGATTTCTTTCCCATATCATTGCAGAATGATCCCAAGGAACCTGCTTCCAGCTCAAGTGACCCCTACTTGAGGGGCTTTTTGTCTTTCCACTGTGACCTGTTTTAGTGACAGAAAACTGTTCTCAAATGATAGTGGAGCATCATATAGTCAAATACTTGCCCTTGTTAAACAATTGCAGTCTGCTGCTACTTTGAATGGTAAGGAGAGAATCCAGCCTGACCTGTGAAGTCTGGGCTGCAAGTTCTGCAGGAGCTTACCTTGATCCATTTATTGCCTGTACATTGCCACTCCATCTGACAGTATAAAATCTGTGTGAAGTTGTCTCTGGCTAGAATAGTGTTACAAACAATCCCCCTCAAATCCAGGGTCAAGTAGGAGCCTATAGAACCTTCACTGAGTTTTTCCTTATTTTCTCCAGCTCCCTTTGAGGACAAACAGACAAGATGTACAGTCTCCTGCTGCTTCCAGTGGCTGCTGCTGGGATGCAGGCTGGTCCAGCAGTTGTTCCAGCCTTGGCAGAAACACAGAGACAGCCATCTCAATGAAAGCAATTGTGCTCAGGAGCTTTTCTGATGCTATCCCCAACCCCCTTCTAGGGCAGGAACTAATTTGGGAAGCTTTGGGCAATCCCAACCTGGCATTCCAGTGCAGACACACCCACCTGTGTATCTATGGGAGTTGCAGCTTTAATGCAACTGCGTGGGAATGAGCTAACCTCAGATTATGATATCTTTCATGGTAAGGATGCTAGTTTCAGTTTGACAGCCACCAAAAACTTGCTGCTGGATGATGACTATGTTGCAGTTAGGGTGAAGTAAGTTAGGAAGGACGATGCTGTTCCAACGTTACAAAAAACTCTTCTTCCGTACTGTATAGCAAAGGCTGAAGAGGGCCCTAGAGCCTTAGACCCAGCTCTGAACGCTGCTTTTCACATGGGAAATTACTACCAAGGGAGATCTCTCTGCTCAGTGTTGAGAAGCAGCAAAAGAATTAAAGAATAACATCAAGGCAGAAGTTTGGCCATTCCATTGTAAAAAACTTAAGAGGTCAACAAAACAAAAGTCATACAACATTAGATTAAAAAGAAAACAAAGTAGAAGCTGGCAAAAAAGTCTGCATCAGTCAGGGCTTTGAGGTAAAGTTGGGGTTTTTTTTTCAAGATCCAGATAGCTAATAGCTATTCATTTTCTGTATATAGCTTAGAAATATTGCATTAACAAAACACCCCAAAACCCACAGCTTTTCTATCTTAAACAGCAGCTGTTTTCAAAAAGCATTTAAAAAAGTTTGTCTTTCATAAGTCCTGGAGGCCTAAGCTAACTAAGCCATTACAACCAAACAGGATACATTACACTTATTTCAATTGGATATAATAAATAATGAACAGTCCACGGCAGCTAGCTTCGTGTTGTTCTTCAAAACATCTCATTTCCTGCTTACAACTTCAGGCCAGAATTTTTAACTTCCCTGTGACATTCACCCACCAGTCTCTCACCCTCGCTTCCAGCTAGCAGAAAGTACTGGTTGCTCTCAACAAAATGTTTGTGTTCAATCTGTTACATTGTGACTCCATGACAAGTGATGTATTTTATAGCTCCCTTTTTTTGGTTACTGTCACAAATATTTGGATAGCTTCTGTTTTGGAATTTCAAAGTGGAGAGGGGGAAGCTGCTTTGGGTACAGCATGAGTGTTGGGTACATCCGCACAGCATATTAATGCTAGAAACACAGCCATGCATTCTGATCACTGTCAACTTTAATTGTATTTTTCCATTTGTTAAGGCCAGATATTATGTCTTCAGAGCTGAGGAAAACTGAGAGGAATTCCATGATCGTTCTGGGGCAAAATACCAAGAATGAAAACATATGGCCTTTCTGATAACCCAAGTCAAATGGAACAAGGTAAAATAAGTCAAGCAGCATGTCTTGCTTTGTGGGTTGGTTGGGGGGTTTTTTGTCTCCTCTCAGCACAGAAGTGAGGCAATCCTGTTCCTTCATCCAGACGTGCTCCAACCTGCAAAGACAGGATCAGGTTAGATTTTTGAAGTTCAAATTGTATGGATTTACACCAGCCGAGGACTGGGTCATATATTTTTATTTTAATAGTCCCCCCACTTAAAAAAAACCACAACAAAAAAAACCAAAACAAAAAACCAAGAACCCCCCCCCACACACACACACACCACCCAAACAAAACATTAACACAATTTAAGGCATCTATAGTCATATAGGCTGCATCATGCAGCCTGTTTGTAAAATGTACAGCAGCAAATTCATTTATCTCCAGTCAGTCAAAAGACTCACAAATAAGCCAGCCACATATCTTGTGAGACAGAGACAATCTATCCACAATCAAGACTAAAAGAGAACCAGGCTCAGCTTCATCTTCCACCTTCCCAACTCAGCCCACAGGTTAAAGTCAGAGAACCCTTTTCTAATCTCTCATGTTCACTGCATGTTTTTGTTTCAGAAAGGCAAAGCGGGAACACCACCGGACAGACAAAACCCAAGAACCCCAGAGTTACTTTGTACATCCTACAGTTGTCAGACCAACTCCAATTTGGGTGTTAGAGAGAAGGGGGAGGTTGAGAAGGGTCTGTGGACAGATGCGTGCTCAGCTATGTACAGCTTCGCTCCTGAATTTGAATGTGAAGTACACTTACAAAAATCAAGCCACGTATGAAAAATGCAGTCAGCATCTTGGCGACATAACCAACAAAGACTTTTAAGTAAGATTTGGAAATTCTTCCTTCTTTCTGTGTTAGAAAGAATTGCCTGAAACATTGATGCTTTTAAGTTATAATTGCTTTCTGGGGACCTTCTCCAGCTGAAATAAACATTATGGAACACAGCAGCATTGAGAAGAGTGCCAGGGACTCCTTGCCCAATGCAGAAGTGGGGCCATTAGAAGGACAACTTCCCCAGGGGAGAGGGCTCTGCTTGTCCCCAACACAGCTCCTCCCTCCAGAGCAGGATCTGGCCAGCTGTGCCGTTTTACTGGAATCTAACAGGAAAACCCATCTGCAAAGCCTAGACTTCCTATGAGGCCATTCCTGAATCCACTACCAGGTTCTAATCCTGTGGGCCCACTCCTTCTGCAGAGATCCGTCGACTTCAGTGCTGCCCTGCGCAGAAGCTGGCATTGTACAGGCTCATTGCAGAGGCCAGAGCGAGGGGCACTGCAGGAATCAGCCTTTCGAGAGACTGGAAGGTACATCCAAGGCAACACCTCAGCTTCACCAGGCAGCCCAGCTCTCTGGCAGGCTGTGTTATCAATCTTTTTTTGGGGGAAACTATGCTTGAGCTCCTACTTTCAAGTTACATCCCCTAGCTGTGCTGGTAGGGTAGCCATGCTGCTGTATGGCTCAGCCTGTGCTCTCTGCTGGAAAAAGGCACAGAGGAGAGCAGAGCTGCAAGGAAGTGTTGCTCAAAGATACATCCTTTATGAGCTGCTTCTTTTTCCCCTAAGGCTGTTCTTTTGGGTCACATTAACTTCTTCATAACACTATGGCCATATTTGGTGGCTGTCTTATTGCCGCATGTCCACTCTGGTGACAGCCAGCTCATGGTTCTGAAGGTCCCATGGTTGCAGTAGTCTTGACCCACCAGCTCTTACTGGTACTAGCACAATAATTAACGCACATTAAATAAAGATTTAAATAAACCGACTTTGTCCCTTGTTAAAGGTTATTCTACCCCCTAGATTACAGTATAATTGCAAGTCAAGCACT